TAAAAAGATAGTTTAGCTGGCCACCAGCGTCAGTTTCTCATACAGCTATTCTGGCACACGTCCCATGGTCTGTATAAACAGACCCACCTTCTGAGGCTGAAATCCTTAGGGAAATCCAAGCCTTGGGACGTCACAAAACGCCGGGCTCCGATGGCCTTCCGCCAGCTATATTTAAAGATGGTGGAATAAGGCTTGGTAGAGAAATCCAAGTCATGTTCTCTAAAGTTTGGAACACTGAACAGGTCCCTCCTCGTGGGGGAGTTGACTGTCGTCCCCATCTTTAAAAGCAACCAGCGCAATGATTACACTAACCATAGGGGTATAAGCCTTACCGCAATAGCGTCAAAGCTGTTAGCGTCCATCATTCGACGAAGATTGTACAAAACGCGCAGTGAACATGCCCGCGAGGAGCAGGCAGCGTTTCGTGCCGCTCGTGACTGCATCGATCAAATCTTCACCTTCTGACAGCTGTTTGAGCACCGTCATGCTTACTATAGACCAACGATCATTGTGTTCTTAGACATTCGCGCGGCGTTCAATTCTGCTGATGGGACCGCATTATGGAACTGTTTGTTGAGGAATGGAGTACCTGAGAAGAATGTGTCGATCCTCAAAGAGTTGTATCGTCATATGTCAGGTCGGGTCAGGGCTTATGACCAGCTTTCATCACCCTTCGCCGTCTCCAGTTGAGTTCGACAAGGCTGCCCTATATCCCCATTCCTTTTCAACTTTGGCAAAAAGTATGTTCTGTAGAACGCTTCGTCCGGTCTAGCAAACGATGGAGTCTAACTCCTCCCAGGGAACAGGGTTCTTGTCTTAGAATATGCCTATGACATCGCTGTGTTGGGTGACAATGCGCAGGCAGCCCAGCGACCTGCAACACCTGTGTCGCCGCCGTGATATCCGACCGTTCCTTCAGGGAAGGGTGTAAAATACCGAGAACCGTAGTTTTCTGCTTTACGGTTGTGAGAACTGGCCTATACGAGCGGAGAATGCTAATCAACTTTCCGTATTCGACCACCGATGCCTTCGAAGCATGTCTCTTGTCTGGTGGGAACATCGAGTGAGCAATGACGAAATTCGTCTTCATGTGCTGGATACTGATAGTAGATTTCTAACGGCAGAAATCGTTCTACACCGCCTCCGATGGCCCGGTCATGTTTTGCATGTGCCTGCCCATTGACTACTTTGCAGTGCTCTCTTTACACCTGCTGGACAAGGTTGAAAGAAGCTTCGCGGTGGTCAGACTATGATATGTCGTAGAGGTATGGAGAAGTTAGTCTCAGCACTGGTCTCGGTTGGTGCAGCTCGCATTCCAGGCTGGGGCCGAAATCATGAGGATTGCTGATGGCTAGAGACGCTGAGAGATATGGCTCAGAATAGTTATCAGTGGCGCGGTTGCTGTTTGGTTTCTTTGGTGAAACCCCGTTCCCCATAACACAAAAGGTCTTCAAAAATGTACGGTGAAAAAATCATTCATTTTCCCCCCTATTCTCTGTTTTACCCAATAACATTTAATCTTTAGGTAACCCTCCATAACTCAATTATCATTATTGGCACTGGCACCATGCTTGTTATCAATCCGGTATAAAATATCATATACATATACATTTCAGTGTATATCACCACGCAGGAATAAAATTGTCTTGGGAAACTAAGATAAAATAAAACCATAGATTAGAAACGATTTCATCGTAAGACCGAAAGTCGGATTCACCACGATCACACATTTGTTTACCCACTCATCCGATCATCGAGGTTACTTCTGATATGGTGAGTGTAGGGAGTTGGTCAGGACCGTTTTAGTGCATGCATGAATTGTTTTGGGCAAACAGAAGGGAATTGTGCAGATAAATGTCTGCTGTTTGTTCAGTCGCCAGCATCCGACAGCAAACCTCTCTCGATAATCGCTTAAGAACTTTATACAGGGGTTGGAAAGCCTCGGACACTTCCACAGTGTGATTTGTTTCATTTAGGTGTGGAAGCAAGGCACTGGTGAGTGATTTAATTCAGATCATTCTCCGTGTATGAAGATCAGTATTTTGTGTCACAATGTGTATTTTTCAAAATTATTACTCGTTTGTATTCCACGACAGATTTCAATCGTCAGTGATTGTTCAGATGAAATGTTCACTGAGTATTGGCCGATAAACTGACCTGATCACTTTCATCTGTATGTAGTACATTTGAACACATTGTGAATTGTGCAAGTGAAGCAATGAATCCGCCATCCTGGCATATCGGGGGATGATTCATCGAGACAGACGGAAGTCGAAGTTGAACTGCACACAAGGTGCATTCCCATAAATCCTTTCCCAATTTTAAATGCGAACGAGAGAGAGACATATATGGATCTTATGTCCAACATTATCGGGAAGATAATTCCGAAATGGGAATTGTGGGTTTTGTGAAAATAGACCCCAGTCACCGTTTGAGTAAATAATGTGTGTACATCTTCAATTGGGCTCTGAACCAGAAATGCACAGAGAGAAAAAATCACGTTTAAAAGTTAAAACGTTATTCTTTTTATGTCAGTAATCAGTTCCGTTGCATACCATCGATAAGACGCAAATCATTGCCGGGAAAGCAGAATCATTGATTTCAGTCAATGCAATAAATTTTTCTATTGAGTTGCACCTGCATCCATTTGCAAATGTTCATTGACTGCAAACTTTAGGAACTCCGAAGCACTCCAGCCTAGTGGGTAGTATGTTTGCGTTCTACATTTTGGGGGTCCTGGGTTCGATCTGCCGCTCGGTTGATGAATGTGCACTGCTGATGAGACCCAACTAAGGCAAAACAGCTGTCCACTGCTTCCTAGGTTTTCATTTCACGCTTCAATTGCTATGAATACGACGAATTCTAATTTGAAATTCAATCAAATTCTCCATTGCTCACATGAACTTCCAAATAATCTGAAGTGCATTTCGGCGCCGAATGTTTGCATCAGCCTGGCCCGATTTTTCACAAACGCTTGGCACTATTGATGACCTTGAATGTGGGTCCCATTCCTTGGGAGGTCTGTCATTCCCCACCAGTTTAATAAATTTAAATGCGATGGAAAAACCTGTGATCACCGACAAGGATGATTGGACACCTTTTCCGTCCTTGTAGGGACTTGAAACACCAATCTGCCTGATGCTAGTCGATATGCTTATTCATCAGACTACTTAAAAAGCAACTGAAAAATGCATCATTTCCCGATTGGCAGGTTGTTCTCACGCGCAGAACATATCCAACGTGCAGGGAGCGTTCGGTACACGGTTGGCTTCCGTGAATTTTTTCCTACTCTTATTGTTGTTCTCGCGAAAGTAAAGCTTCCCGACGATTCTGACAGATTCTGTCATTTGCTGAAGCTAATTTCGGGAATTCCAATGGTTGATACGAGAGGTATGTGTGTGTGTGAGAGAGAGAGAGAGACGAAGCCCCAAAAGTGAGGACAGTCTCTTCTGGGCGTTTTACCACGCATAATGGAAGATATTGGGTTTATTTATCGTTGGGTGTAGTCTCATTCAACGCATGGTGTAAACTCATCACCTGTTCGCTTTAAGTGAAACAAATTTATGCAATAACTAAACACATACACACAAACTAAACTTTACATGACAGCTTTCGCGTTACAGATGGGTGAATAAGAAACATGAAAATTGACTTTGGTCGAGACATCCTTTATTCGTGAAATCTGTCAAAATATAAATATCACGACAATCAGGACAAAAATGTCTAGCATTCAGTGGAATTAGCAAACAATTCCCAATTAGCAATATTAAGAAAATTATGTGTAAGGATTCAAGTATTAGTGGTAATAGTAGTAGTGTTATAATTCCACAAGGCGGTGCTGATCAAGGATATCCGTTTATTGTGGATTACAGATGGTCAGTAACGTTGCATGCATGACACAAAAAAACAAATCAGAAATGCGCCATCGCAATTCTTTCTGACACACAGGGTAATGTACAGACCAGTGAGTAGTTATTCTTCCAAACATATCACTTGGCCCTCGGTGGTCTTGTTTCATTTTTGATTATTGGAAGTTACCTACTACCCACAAGGGAGTAGTATATCACAACACTCCTCCCCGGCGCAAAAGAACTCTGCATGCAGCGGGAAATGAGATCTTTCTTTTGAGAGTTCGAACGGATTCGTATGTGATTGACAGTTTCTTGTGGTTTCATGAGTGACTTTTGGTGACCCGACCAGTAGGTTAATTTCTGACGACTTTTGGCCTAAGGCTCCGGTCCCAGCGCCTTCTATCGTGTTCACTTTGATACGCACCTCTGTCATCACTTATCTCTGGAAACATATTCATTGAAGTCTTCCTCATCCGTAGTCTATCTGAACTTCGCCATCCGGGTAGTGACTTCACTGATCCAGGGTCAACGATAAGGGTTTCAACATGGGGCTTGTACGCTGTTTCGGTTGCTTTTAGAAGTGCAGTTGGCCTCCGTTTCACCAGCTTTCTAAACTTGTTTATCGTTTTGTTTTGCGGTCTGGTCAAAGGTTGCTTTTCTGTTGTGTTATCGATAGAGAAAGTTGGATTTGTTTTGCTGCCAACTTGCGGCTCGCGTTCGTCAACTGTCTTTACTGCCGTATTCGAAACTTCTACTCACTCAGTTGACTGAGGTTCCGCCATATAAACAGCAGCACACGTGTCAAACAAATATGGCACTTTCTATTCCCCAACTCCCTATGGGTCTGAACTGAACAATGACCCTTCGTTCAGCAGGAAGCTTTGTCGGAAGGCAGCGATTTGAACGAATTCAGGGGTTCTCTCAAGAACCACTTGCACTGTGATTCGGGGCAATTTTTCGACCAGCACTCTGGATCTTCGAGCTCAATATCCCGATTCTTGAGAGCTATCTGGTTGAAATCGGTTCGGATCGCTGCCACCTCTATTAGTTTATTGAGAGTTGCCGCACTTCCAATAGGCTGGCGTCCCGGATCTTTGGTTGACTGGACAGGAGTAAATTTCTTCCAAGTGAACTCTCTCAGCACATTCGTCAGTTTGAATACATAAATNCATAAATGGTCTTCTCCACATTCAATATCCATGCCGCCTCGCGTAAATCTTCCGGCAGGCTCCCCATGAAGCGATCAAGCAGTAAATCCGAATGCGCGGCATCATCCAACGTTGAGAGCGCTCGATTCAACAGGGTGTGCAGGGCCACGGCATGCGACAGGGGGTCNAGGGGGTCTACGTCAACTCCCATCTGCGCCGTCCTGAAGCTCCACAATGCTTTCTGGCGGTCGGCCGGGGTGCCAAAACCCGCGATCAGGGCATCCTTCGCGGTGGCTCACTCCATTATCTCCGGGTCTCTTCTCGCCGCATCCAAAATAACCCGCGCCCGGCCCTTGAGAAGCGCTCAGCGGGCCGTCAACTTACTCCGGCTAGACTGTATTCCCGCCAGCTCCGCGACGTCCTCGAACTCCTCCAGGAACATCCGCACATCGCCATCCTCGAAGAGATCAAAACATAGAACCTTCCTACTGATCCCGGCGACGTCACCAATTGTTATAATTTCACAAGACGGTGCTGGTCAAAGATAATCCTTTATTGAGCATTACAGATGAGACGTCAGCAATTTTGCATGCATAACACAAAACTAAGTCAGAAACATACCATAGCCGTTCCTGTTCACGCGACGGGTAATGAATGTAGCAACCATTAGTTATTTTTTGGGACCGAACAGATTGCCCTCGGTAATCCTGTTCATCTTTGATCGTGGAAATCAATCACTACTCATAAGTGAGTAGTATCTCACAGCAGTGGTAGTAGTGATGTGCACTGCATTCGGAGCGCGAACCACGCAATACGGATCACGGAATACGAATCAAGGATTAGTAATCACGGACTGGGTCGCGTAAGCAAGGACCACACTGGCATTTGCCCGCAATATCCCATGTAACCGACACGTAAGGAAAAGGCCACAGGAATAGTAGTTTATTTGATGAAAGAAGTAAAGGGGATTAAAAAATATGTACAAAGTGAGTTCATTGGTTATCCGGGCTTCTACCAATTGCGTTCCAGTATTCCTGTCATCGCTCTGCTTCTGTCTGTGGTTCACGGTCCTTGATTGGCTGGTACAATCTACCTGTGGCATGTAGTCAGAAGCAGTGACACGCACGCGCGTTGTTGACGTCACCCATGAGGTTTGGTCGATCGCATTTGTCCAAAACCTGTAATGCGTCGATCCAGGGTAAGTGTCATCTCGTAGGTCAGGATGACCACAGTATGCCAGAACTCACGAACAAATTGGGCATTTTACGGTGTTCAGTCTGACGTACTTCTTACTGTAGTAGGATCCAAACCACAGTGCTCGACACTGTGACAGAGTCTGCTCGGACACAAGACGGGTGACCGAGGATACCATCGTACGCTGTGGTACATCATCTGATCCATCGACTAACGTAACAATTTAGGCATGTGCTCCTTTATCCGCTCTTGAACTGGCCTGTGTGTTCTTCTGACACATATGAATGGGCAAACAAATATGTGATCGTGGTGAGTCCGATTTTCGGTCTCACGATGAAATGGTTTCTAATCTATGGTTTTCTTTTATTTTAGTTTCTCAAGACAATTTTATTCCCAAGTAGTGATATGTCAATATTGTGACTTATTGGCACGAACAGAAATCTCTGAAAACGAGCTTGTACGCCAATGTGTTGTGCTCTTTGAGATAAGAAATTGATCGGGATTGCCCAAACAGGGAAGAGCAAAAATGAACTATTGATTTGATCAATAGTTTGATCTCATAGACAGACAATGCATGGCCAATATAATAAGCAGTATGCGAATAGATTACCATGATTCCTAACAGCAAAAATGAATGCAGCCTTGAAGTTCATTGGGAAATCGCATACTAACTTGTAGTGTAAACTAGTCACTGCGGATTTTGAATAAACATCCTTCAGACATCTGGAACAAGCCCCAAATTAGTCTGGTCAATCGCACATTCGTGAACCAAGGAGACTCCATAGTTTTGCTCGCCTTTTACGATTCAGCCGCAATTGTTATCCAAAGACCCAGCAGGAATTTCAGTCCTGGACACCTAGTAGGGAAGGCACATGTAGCACCAATGTGCTAACCATATCAAACCCGTGGCTAACCAGGATTACCAATGTAAATGTGAGCAAATCACACGTTCAGTCCCTCTGTCCAAGGACAGCAGTGACCTCAAGTCTCTAATGCTTCCTGTGTGTGTCTAACTGTATGAGCTGAATTTGTGTGCCAAAAAAGGTGGGCAGTTCAAATCAATAACAAATCATCAATTATCCCGCAAAAGTTCAGAAATCGTCACTGACGCATTTCCGGATAGTAGTCATCTTTCAGGCACTTCATGAGCACACTGCACGGACCGCTGGATCCGAAACCGGTCAGTTTTTCTGTTTACATATTTCATGAGCAAACGCTGTTTATCGACAATGATGCAAGGTGCTGGGGCTCAAACGTCAGACACCTATTCGAAGTGACAGAATGATTGATGAGTGACAAATGATTGTGAGCGGAACGAAATGCCAACTGGGGATGGAAGACGCACAAATGACGCCACTCGAAACGATAGGAAAATTGGCATTCTATATTCTCCGTTTTAAAGATATATCCGTCGCTCTCTTTCGACCGTTTTCTTCTTGTTTACATCCCCCCCCCTCCCACCCCGTTGGCTTCACAGGGCTGCTCCGTTCTCTTCCAAGGGTTGCTCAAGAAGCCATCTAAAGATGGCCATTATTTGAGACGGTAGATTTCGCACTGTCGACAAGACTCAAACCGGTCGAAACAACTTTTTATAGCTTTTCAGTACACGCTTCATTTGCACGACAACGCATTTGCAGGAGATAAACGACTTTTGCGCTACACTTCATGCATTAACTGTTAGCTTCAAGATAATACTAAGAATAGGAATTGCAAAATATTAAGAGTACATAGATTCGGTACGAGAAAACAAGAGTTTTAATTTGAAGCAGATGATCCAGTTAGACTTGGAACGAATACTTGATTTAGAGATCATAAAGTGTCATACAGAAAAGAATCGCAAGCTGTGAGATGTGCGCATGCAGAACATCTACCCTTGTTTCAGTTTCTTTCCAAAAATAATCTGAGCAAAACGCAACCAAAATAAACGTTTGGCACCCCAGGAACAGTGCTGTTCAAAGCATAATAAGCGGACTCGTATATCGCGTCCGGCCGCAGCGCAGCACAGCACACCACACCATCCAAAGCCCCGAAGCTGAGAAGCCCAATCTAAACTTTCGTATTTTGAGAATAGTATGTTGTGCATGCAAGGAAACTCGGGGTTCATTCCGGTTACCATGATGTTTTTATCGAGTAAGTGTTACCACAGAACGTGTGCACCAGATCCACACGACTAACTGAAATCATAGTCCAAGCGAAGTTCTGCAATTTATTGAGATATACTCAGCATCAGGCCACTTATTAACGGGCCAATCAATTTATTAGAACAGTGTTTTGTCGTGAACTGATTTATATGAGAAAACACTAAACTAAAGTAGAGTACACCGGCGTGGTAGAAGTTACCTTTGTTTATACATATGATAGATGGATGATTCAATGTCGTTGTGTCATTTGGAAATGACGTCTGTCGGTGAAACAACCACGAATTGAATAGCAGAGGAGCGGAGGATTATGCTCTGTGTGCATTGATGATGTTGATGATTATACCGTTTCTCCATCGATTTGAAGCGCATGTTTAACCCATGAAGCAATTCTGGATAATCCAACATCTGGAGACAAGGAGCGACGAACCGAATAGACAGCTATGTCAGTAGCCAATCACAATTTATACCGAGTGAACTGACTGTTTGAAATTACTCCTATTCTCCAGGGATTTTGATTTGTTGTAAGAAGTGGCCAACCTCAGTGTTCTTCATTTCTGACCGAGGTCAAAAGTTGCGTATTCATCTGTGAGAATGATATTTTATCAAATATCCAATCCGGACATTCTAGATAACTCCGTTTTAATCTGCTTGTATTGTTTTCTTTACAAAGTTTTGTCGTTGGAATCCAGAACGGAGCACTAAACACCCATTGATATCGAAAGCCACAATCGATTCATAGCACTTCTGTCAATTGGAATAAGCCAAGTCAAGTCAAAACAAAGAAGTCACCTGCACCCGATAGATGGATGATTTTTCACCAATGTTCACCTGAATACAGGTCTTGACCAAACTCGTGCAACATTACCCTCATCTTTGAAATCCATTGCAGCTTGCAATATCATGCTTATTGCTATGAGTAAAGTGTATTTATTCCTGACTTTATCTCCAACATCTATATTCTTAGTTCTTTTCTGTCACCGTCTGAACTTGTGCGACCTTGACTGTTGCGATAAAATTTGTAGTATTTCGAAATTTACAGCTCAGAGTTGGAAAATATTTTAGCCAAAGCGATATGGGAGTTCATTCTTTTTAATAGATGATTCCTGTCTCGTGAGAGTGTTTATTAAGTTGAGCAAACATATTCTAAGTTGCTTATCTCTTTTCATTCAGTGCACAGTAAATAAGCAAATTAACGGAAATATTCTAGCTTAAATAAATCGATAAATTATTTGGCTACAAACTACTCACGCATTATCCACAATACTGAACGAACTCAAAACATAGTCCAAGAAGCACACAAGCTGATCTTCGAAAGTTGAACTTGAGGTGTGCGGTTGATTGAATAAGCGTTCTGTAATGTCACCGTGCAGGAACCGGATGAAACTTTCAACTGTTTTTGGCATATAATTGAAGCCGAGAAGCAACTTAATCGAGAGGCGCGTAAATCCGATGGCTCAGTTGCTGTCTTGTGGAAGCGCTTCGATGTGAACATAAGTTCAATTTTTTGCATATTCAACGATATCTCTCAATCAAGACATAAACCGAGAGGGAGAAAACCGGCAACATCAAAATAAGACGATGACTGTATTCGATGGCAGCTGAGAAGAGTTGCACAAAATCAGTCTGGATGATAGTCGAGGCTGATTGACCGTTTTTACCTCACGCTTTCGTTCGGATAATGATGGCTCAATTTAAAATGCAGCTGAGGCTACGTGATATGAAGCCGTTATGGAGCACCCAACAAAGCACAGTGCGTATTGAGTTTACCAACAAATTCAAATCGCGTCACCCGTCCATTTGGCAATGTGTTTATCTCACTGGTGGCCAATGAGTAATTCAGCATACTGTGAAAGCTGATCTAGTTTTCTAGTGAATT